AAAAAGGAGTATCACCACGAGGAAAAGAAAACTGAAGGCCTTAAACGTCACGTACCAAAAAGTTCCTGACGTAGCTTTTAAAACAAGACGCCCCTGGCTGATGACACAGAAATAGAGATATGCAACGCACGTAAAACGTATGAACAGACTGTGTCGATAGACCTATTAACCATTAGCAACTTTCATTTCCTTCTCTGTCTTTTCGCTTCACATTGCAGCCAATGAAGCAAAACTTGCAACGACTGCCCCATGAGCTCATTTGGCATTTTTGAAGTGCGGGGATTGTTGAATGTATTGTAAACCAAGAGAAAAAGTGACTGATCACATACAGCTTGATGTCGAACGTCTTCAAAGCCTTGGCACTGGCCGACGTCAATCTGGTCGAAAGATTCAGTTAAAGACCTTCTCTGCTGCACTGGTGTTGGAATCAGAGGAGAAAAGTGCATGTGATAGGTTTATTAGGTGCTGTTGTTACGTTCCACAATTTTCAACAGTAACTTCTACATCTGGATACATCCTGGTTCCGCGAAACACTCACAAAATTCAGAACTGAACGCAGTCGTGCAAGTTTTGACCCTCCTTTAAATGGCTGAAAAATGAAACATCAGCTAAGCGGACATTCGCTGTCAAACTGTCAAATGCCAAAAATTTAGTCGCTGAATACGGCGAGAGTAGATGCATGGCAAAACTGAAAGTCACGCTGTTGGGGGGTAGAACATGTTTGAAATTTGTTACTTAATAACAATACAAAAATCGTTTTCAGCGCAGAATAAAGATCTGAAATGTTTAACAAATTTTCTCACCATCCCTGCTCAGAGATCACGTTAATCTTTGTTAATAGTTTCACGTTTTGTACATGCCGATGGAATGGTGGGGACGTCACTTTTTCGGTAGTTATATGCATCAGTTGAATATTCACGCTGATTATCTGTGTAAAGCTGGCAAAAATGTTTCTGCAAACGAGCAGAAGTGCACAAAACAAAATGGCTGCCTGAAGTCAATAACAGTCACGAATTTTCATGCACGGAAACAAAAACTTTTCGTACAAGTAAAAAGTGGACAAATCTACTTACTGGAAGATCAGTCGACGATATTCACTGGTTAATCTGCGTATAAGCCTAACCAACTGGTTACGCGTAACGTGATCTAGAAATAGTTTCCAGTGCAAAGGAGGCATCGTTGAATGGAAATGGAAACGGTCCGCAAACAAACAGTCAGTACTATACGGATATGACTGCTAAGTTTAAAAAACTGAAGCAACTTAGCAAACAATATAATTCTTGATTTTGACCTTACTCCTTAAAAGCTCAGAGAAAATATTACAAATGAAAAATTTTTTGACCTCAAGACTGGAAGCACCAAAATAAGTTAAAAATTTCAGTGTTCTTCAGGTACTTAGAACCAGAGAAGCTGTTCGTCTCTATGGTTAAAATGAACAAAAGCGGACATACAGTTACCCACATAACCAAGGCGTAACCTCACCACATTATTCGCCTTACGGCAATGATGAAATACAACAGAGAAACGGTTAACGCACACAAGACAATACAATTGGTCAATCATGTGAAACAGCAGTGCTGCCGTTTTAGTTCATATCTCACGGACCTTCCTCATCGACGATTTTTTGACACTGTATCTCTTATCGCAAGACTTTTAGATGAACAAGCCATGGAAGAGGTGTAGAAGCGGCTTAACACGGTACAAAGTTCGAAAGAAAACGTCTTCACATTGATCAGGTTGTCACACGCGTGAAATTTTGCCTAGAAAACAACTGATTTGCATTTAAGGGAAAGACAGACCAACAGATGGATGAAGCCTCTATGGGATCTCTGATTTTATCAGTGACAGCCGACTTATACCAGGAGAATGCCACGATCAAATTCTCGTCGTTGATAACCTGAATATTGGTGGTGCTACGTTAAAGACACATCCACCATCTGTCCAAAGGCAAAAGCAAAGAACCTGTTAAACCACCGGAACAACGCAATTCCGGAAATAGTTTAAGATGGAAGGAGAGTAAGGTTGACATCGACCATCATTAAAACTTCAAATTTAACCACTCCTTACAACCAATGAATGCCTAATGCACTAAATGCCTAATGAAGCGAGTTCGTGATCTGTGTTTCGATATTAAGGCTCGAAACGAAGTAAAGTATATTTACGACGCGCAGGAGGGAAATGTATAAGACCCACCCGCAAACTATCAAGGAATAGAACCGGGCAAGAACTTAGGCCAAAGCAAGATCCAGCATTTATCACCTTCACACCATACTTTCCACGTCTGTCAGATTATGAACTCAGTAAAGATCGAAGTTGCTTTCAAGTCTGCAAAGAAGCTAAGATCATTAATAACGAAGGTAAAAACTCGACACCGTTGAAAATGCAACGGATGTGGTATGCCAGATCGACCGTCTGACTTACAACTAAGAAACACTGACTAGACATTTCGGACACTGCGAGTCAGAGTTGCTGAGCACTAAAGAAGCAGCAAACGAACGGTCACGGGGCAAGAAGCATGGTGAAAATCACTTCTGGACCAATCTG